AAGCTGAAATTTCATATAACAGTATATTTTAGCAATACTAATTAGTATATTAATATATTTAACTAAATTAGTGAAACAAATGATAGAAACAAAAGCAATAATATTAATTAGTAATCATATTTAATAAAATCATTAGAAAAATACAGTCATGAAGTATATCTTCTTTTTAAAGTGTTTCGTGTTACAAAATACCGCGCGCGCCTAACGTTGGCTAACGGAGGGTTTAGATGCAAGTCGGAACGGGTTCCCGTTTATAGAATGAGCTGAAATTTTTACTGGGAGTATATAAACAAGTAATAAATATAATTAGAGGGTATGCGTAAAAAAAATAAAAATAAGGGACACCCTAATGTATAATTATCGGGGTTTTTGCTTCCCATTTAAATAGTCCAGGTGGTTGTATTAAAGTGTTTCAAACTTGATAAACATTTTAAATTATTCAATTATGGTGTACTCAATTGCAGAAAGAGTAGAAACTATTGAGCTTTTTTTTAAACAATGAATGTAAAAATTGGGTCGCAGAGCTGTTTAACCAACGGTTCTGGGAAAATTGGTTGCCAAATTTCAGGTTCCGTTCATACCAAAATGAAAATCCGGTTGGGTGTCACATTTGTCGTTACTGGGCTGATACAAATTCAAGGAGTTTTTCCTTCCGGGAAATTTAACAGACGATATGTACCTGGATTTACTACAAAATGCCATCGACACAGCTCCAACACATATCATAGAGAACGACCCTGCATACAATGAACAGGAACTGACTTTCCAACAAGACGGAGGCCCATGGGGAAAAATCGTCTAAAGACGATCGTCTTTAGACGCGAATTCGTCCAATCGTCTTTCAAACGATCGTCTTTCAAACGATCGACTTTCAAACGATTCAATCGGTTGCTTAGGTTAGGCGGTCGGCTGTACAGACGAAATATATATTTGAAATTCTTCTCTATTATAATAAAGAATTTCAAATATACTTTGGAATATTTGGAATTGTCTATTATTCGAAGTAGGTAGGTATCGCCTTTAGAATTGTTTTTTTAATTAATTTAATTAATAATTATGACAAAATAAAAATATTTTCTCATCGGTTAAGTTATAACTTAAAATTTTAATTAAAAAGATCGTCTTTTTTCGACTATTATTTTAGACGATTACCCTTTGTATCGTTTATCACTTTAAACGATCGTCTTTAGGGTCGGCTATTATTTTAGACGATTAAAGACGATCGTTTAAATAATTAAACGATTTCGTTTGAAGGTAGACGATCTTCTTCAGACGATCGTCTTTTTTACAAAAGATCGTTTAAAAAATTAAGCGATATCGTTTAAAAATAGACGATCTTCTTCAGACGATCGTCTTTTTTTTAAACGATTTTTTCCCATGGGGGTCCTTCGCATTACTCGCAAAATGTGCGAAATTTTTTAAATGACATGTTTCCAGGACGCTGGATATGATGTAGGGGTGCAATTGAGTGGCCTTCTCGGTCACCCGACTTTAGATTTTGTTTGTGGGGGCACATAAAAACCGAACTTTACAGCACTCCACCTGACACATTGGAAGATCTGCGAGGACTAAACATTGGCGTATGTCGCGAAGTGACACCGGAAGTGCTCCAGAATGTACGGCAACGGTTTGAAGATAACCTCTATCACAGTATATATGCATGTTGGCGGACAACAGTTTGAGCATTTACTTGACTAATAAGTTTTTAAATAAAATAAAATCGATTTTTTTCGTCAAACGTATTGCTAGTATTTCAAAGCTCCATAATTTCTAAACGAGTTAATCGATTTTCAAAAATTAAGCAGCAATGTATAGGAAATGAAAAGTTTTTTTATGAGGTCATTGACCTCCATTCCCATTTAAAAAAAATTAGAGGATGACACCCTCACTTAGGGGGTTAAAGATTTTGCTTTACTTTTTGAGTCAAAAGTTGTCCCCCTGAGAAAAAAACTTATTTTGCCGAAAAGTTTTTTCCCAGCCTGTAATATTACAGGCATATGGCTTGCGGTACGTTTTCGATGGGCCACCCTGTATGTATATATCATCTTGCAATAGGGCAATTCCATGATAACTCACGGGACATTCAGATGACAGAAATAAAATTTAACTTGGTATACCAGAATACCTATATTTATTAGGAATGTATAAAATGTTTAATCTTTAAAGGATAGGCCAATGTACATTTTTAACATTTTTGAATAAGTTCACCAATTGAACTCTAGACAAAATGCACACAAAACGTGTGATAACTAATGGGACACGAAAAACCTTCTTTAAAAAATTGGTTAAATGAAGCAACCATTTTCTCTGAATCCTAAACTGTATGAAACATAATCTTATTTTAAAAATATACTTTGCCTATAGTGTATTAAAAAAACATTCAACTTAACTGCTTTGATTGTGTGAGGATTTAAAAAAATTGGTTAATATGATAACTCATGGGACATAACTCATGGGACATTCTGAAAATGCAAAACAAGTTGTGCTTCTAAACAACTTTATTTTTCAAAATGAACAAAATTAAGAAAAATAACTTTGAAAATAACTATGGTACGGACATCTTCAAAACCTTAAACACCTCTGAGGCTGACGTTGTGCGAACCTTCAGTAATAAATTTGAAGTAATGGCAGTTGAGTAGTCCTGGAATTGGTTTAGATATATTCCAGATGCCTTCCAAGAACTCCTAGTCAGCTAATATTTCTTCTGCGTCCAAATAAATAACATTGATTTTTTCCAAAGATTTTGCACATTCGTAAAAATCACGTGCATTACTTATAACAGCTTTTCTACTTTTTATCTCTGTCCAAACCTACATTTGTAGAGAAAAAATATATTTTAAAAATTAAAAAAATATTAAGAAGTATCAACTTATTACCTTCTTTTTTACATAAGCACCGACACCGTCTACTGCACCTTTTCCATGTGACGTAGAAAAATCTCCACTTAAATTCTCGAAGCCTTAGTTTTTCCTTCAGAAGGTGCATTCCAAAAAGGGTGTACCTATTCTTAAATTGGGCTGCACACCCGTCTGTGAAAAGAGACAGTCTCTCCAAATCATATTTTTCACGGATTAGAGTCACAATTTTTATTAAAAATATGTGCACAGCATATTTGTCGTGGGATAGAAAGACGCCAGTAAAGATGGTCACTTGTGCGTGAGACCAATGGGCGCTTTGTACTTCATCTTGTGCTATAATCGAAAAATTCTCAGCAAAATCAACCTGTAATATTGCTTCTAAACTTTCGACATTGTTGCGTTTCATGTCAAAATATCGTTGTTGGGAATTTTTAATGAAGTGGTGATTTCTGAAAGCTAGTAAGTGTTTATTGAGCAAATTAATCACATCATCTATCTGCAGATCATCTTCACTGATTTGATTTTTTTTGTCAATCACTTTCCACTGTTTTAGAGATACTAATTTGTCCCTATTATATCTAAGTGGCAAAACAGAATAACCTACGCAACATACTTTACCTAGGAGATCTCTATGCGACAGAGGAAATTTTTTTAAAATTCGAACCAAGTTTCTCTACTATATAAATAATGTTGGCATGGTATCTACAAACGCAAACGTTGTGTGGAATTTAGATAACGGAAGAACGAATTTCGGTCTTAAACTATAAAACTTGCTTAATTTCACGTGAACATCAGGATTCTCTTTGACAAATAGAGAGTAAGCCTCTTTAATTGTAAACATTAAATGTCTCTTCTGCATATACTCAGATTTTTCGCCTTCCTTTATTTTTATCGTGTCTTTTAAAGACGGAGAGACCCTGCTGATGTCTTCCTTGCAGTAAAATGATGTTATTTTTTGGACTGCTAGTGGTTTAAGTTTGTTCCAATTATTTTTCACAAAAAACTTCGTTTGGAAACTTGAATATTGGGATCAATGTCTTTCAAAAGCTTTGATAAGACCATAACTTTTTTATCTTTGTTTGTTGGTAAAGAATTTTTGACTTTTTTTAAATCCAAGCGATTGGGGTGTTTTATATGCCAAATTTTCTTTGTTTTTCTTTATTCTCTCTTTTTCTTGTTTTTCATTTCTATATTTTCTTTTTCTTTCTCGTTCCAATCTTTTGTGCACTTCTAAAAAATCGGCGGACATTGACATTTTTTGTCTGAGCTTTTCACGGTATCTTCTATTATTTTCACTATGCTTTTTTAAATATTTTTTTTTCAATGCAACATCTGCATGCACGTTTTTTCGATAGTTTTTCATGTTTTGTTTAACTTCTCTATTTCTTTTCATATTTCTCATTCTGAAAAAGATTATAGTATAACAAAATAGAGATGTATATTAATATTTGCTTATAATTGTTTATAATAGTAATAGTTGGTGACTAGGTGAGTATAACTGATTTTCATAAGGAATCGTGAGGTTTCTCTTTTAAATTAAATATTTTTGTAATAGCAGAATTTTTTATAACTCACGGGATATTTTTTAAATATCAAAAACTTTAAAATTAGATATTTTATCTACTTCTACTTTTAGCACGTGCAAGAACTTCTGCTACCTTAAGAAACTAAGGCAATACAAAATATTTTATGATAACTCATGAGACAAAAAACAACTTAATATTAAGTTATATTTAATAATAATACTTACGTTTTCTATTGTAAAAAAACTGCACTTAAAACTTGGCTTGGGTACACACTGTCAAACGCAAATACTGTGACATTTAAATTCTTTTGATTTTCCATGGCGCACTTGTTTAAAAATAGTCATATTTTTAGTGCAGAATTCAAAAGCAGTTAAGACTTTTTAATTATTTAAAATTTTATGGAATAATGGGTTAAATAAACAAAGTAATAATTTTCTAGGCACAAGTAGACATGTAAATATAATCCTGGTTTAATAAAATTTCGATTGATATAAATTTGAAGAAAATTACGCTATTACGCATGGAATTGCCCTATAGCCCTAATTTGCTTACAACCATATAGCAGAAAAATGTTTTTTGCCATGTTTGTGGCAATGGCAGTTTTCATGAAACTTACTTAAATATCAAATTTCCAGTACGGTCAGCTATTTTTGCCTTAATTAACGCAAAATCACCAGTAATACTTTCTTCCAAGATGAAATTCTTTCCATTAAACATTTGAGAATCTCTCTTTGTGCTTGAGATTTCCACATTTCCATTTTTATCGTATTTTATTGGTGCACCACCCTCTTGTACAAGTGTTCCAAAAGCTGTGGGTGTAAAAAAAGCAGGAATTCCAGCTCCTCCGGCTCTTATTCTTTCAGCTAATGTGCCCTAAATAAAAATATAAGTATACATACATTGCGTTTAATAGTACCTGTTTTATTATACTACCCTGCTTAAAATACCCCATAGAGACCCTGTTCAAACCGATAGATATTTGTATCGGGATGTATGGTGTTTCTATAGGGTGTATCGGTTTGTATAGGACCCATACTTGAGATTTATGGTTGTTCTATAGGGATATCCACCATTGATTTATTTGCTATCGGTTTCAATGGGGAAAATACACATAAATATAGAAATTAGGTTTTTCCCTATAGGACCCCATAGGTTCTAATAAAATTTTGTCAAATGTTTTATGGTTGCTCTATAGGGATATCCCTATATATCCTTCATTGAGTTATTTTCTATCGGTCTCAATAGGGAAAATGTAAAAGTTATGGTGTGCCTATAGGTAATTTCCTATACATTTTCTATCGGGCTGTATCCGGAAAAAACCATGGACAAATGCACATATTGAATCCGGTAGCGCCCGATAGATTATTTTGTATAGGTCTCTATGGGGTATTTTAAGCAGGGTAGAGATAATGCTGGTGACCAACCGTCATGGTTTACCCAGGACAGGTTCTGGTTTTTGCTAATGTATTCTGGTTTTAATTGTGCACTGGTTTTGTCCTGGTTTTTCAGATTTTGTCCTGGTTTATAATTTTATTGACGTTATTTGCATTTTTTTTTTAAGTGGTCGAGGCTCAGGTTAAAAATTAATTTAAAAATTAAACCTTTGAAAGTACATTTAGAAGAGTAAAAAAGTAAGAAAAAACCTTGTTTGAAAAAAAAATCTCACTTTTTTAGTATTTTTTTAAAAAGTGATCGGTGCTCAGTTTAAAAATTAATTTAAAAATCTAAACCTTAAAAAGTACATTTAGAAAAATAAAATAGTAAGAAAAAACCTCGTTTGGAAAAAAATATTACAAAAAATGAGTTTTTTTCAACTTTTTTAGGATTTGTTGTATTTTTTTTAAGTGGTCGGGGTTCAGGTTAAATATTAATTTAAAAATCTAAAAGTTTGGAAGTACATTTAGAAGAGAAAAAAACTCGTTTAAAAAAATTATAACAAATTATGACTTTTTTTCACTTTTTTAGGATTTGTTCTATTATTTCTTAAAAAAGTGGTCGGGGCACTGGTTAAAAATTAATTTACAAATCTGAATTTTTGGAAGTACCTTCAGAACTGTAAAAAAATAAGAAAAAAAAATTTTTTTTTAATTAATTTAGTTTTTTTCAATTTTTTAGGATTTGTTTTATTAAAAGTGGTCGGGGTTCAGGTTAAAAATTAATTTTATTAAAAGTGGTCGGGGCTCAGGTTGAAAATTAATTTAAAAATTGAATTTTTGGGAGGATAATTTTTGATTATTTACGTTATTAGCACATCTTTTTTTTTAATAATAAACATTTAATAAAATAAATTTTGTTTATTTTTAAAAGGGTGAGAAGGGGCATGTTGTGTCCTGGTTTTTCATTTTAGAAAGTTGGTCACCTTAGATAGTGCAGGCCATTATTCACGAGGAAGAGGTTTGCGTAAATCATCCTAGTCAATAATACGCATTATCTCTAGTGTAATAGGTACTTTTTCTGCTCCAATTAAGTAATTTTTATTATTAACAAAATTTATTATAACCTCACTTTATCTTGATTTTAAAAAACATTATAATACATATATATATATATATATATATATATTAGGGTGTCCCTTATTTTTTATTTTTTTACGCATACCCTCTAATTATATTTATTACGTGTTTATATACTCCCAGTAAAAATTTCAGCTCATTCTATAAACGGGAACCCGTGCCGACTTGCATCTGAACCCTCCGTGAGCCAACGTTAGGCGCGCGGTATTTTGTAACACGGTTGGCCGCGAGGTCTTCGATCGTAAGTCATTTTGTGTTTGTTATTATGTGACCCTTATATTATAAATTATTGACAAATGTTAAAATAACGTTTTATTTATGTGTATTAGGGTGTCCGTTATTTGGGCGATGTGCGAATTTTTTTGCTCGCACCCCCCAAAAAGTTGTAGTTTGGGAAAAAAAAATTTTTGGTAATTTTTTTAGATTTTTTTTTTTTAATTAACCCGTGCCGCAAGAGGGTTAAAGATTTAATTATTGTAAAAATATGATTAAATTTTGCCTTTCACTAAAGGCTTACCACTCCACGATTTTTCAATGAAAAAAGTCTGTCGAGTGGTTTTCTTATAGTTCAAACACCGCTGAACCCGAATCTGAAATTCGTTTTTTTTTTTTCATTAATCGTTTTTTTAGAATAGCCTGTGTCGGGAGTAGGTAAAATCGCAAATCGGATGAAAAATGGGATTAGGCTCTTTTCACATTGAAAGTCCTGTAACGTCGCCAGTTTTCAATAAAAAAATCTGAAAATTGGTATACTTATGGTTTTGACATCGCTGAACTCGAATCTGACATTTTCATTAATGACAGCTGTCAAAATAGCTGTCAAAAATCCCAAAAACGATTTTTTATTAAAAATGCCCATTTGCCCCTGTAAAATTATGTTTGGAACTTGAAATTTGACAGTTTAATCATTTGTACATTTTATTGAGTGATTTGGATTTCGGTTTTATGAAAATAAATAATTCAAAGTGCATCAAATTCAGATTCAGCGCATGAAATAACCATAAAATGGGCATTTTTAATAAAAAACCGTTTTTTTGGGATTTTTGACAGCTATTTTGACAGCTGTCATCAATGAAAATGTCAGATTCGAGTTCAGCGATGTCAAAACCATAAGTATACCAATTTTCAGATTTTTTTATTGAAAACTGGCGACGTTACAGGACTTTGAATGTGAAAAGAGCCTAATCCCATTTTTCATCCGATTTGCGATTTTACCTACTCCCGACACAGGCTATTCTAAAAAAACGATTAATGAAAAAAAAAAACGAATTTCAGATTCGGGTTCAGCGGTGTTTGAACTATAAGAAAACCACTCGACAGACTTTTTTCATTGAAAAATCGTGGAGTGGTAAGCCTATAGTGAAAGGCAAAATTTAATCATATTTTAACAATAATTAAATCTTTAACCCTCTTGCGGCACGGGTTAATTAAAAAATAAAAATCTAAAAAAATTACCAAAAATTTTTTTTTCCCAAACTACAACTTTTTGGGGGGTGCGAGCAAAAAAATTCGCACATCGCCCAAATAACGGACACCCTAATGTGTATACTTTGATAAAAATGTATATTTTCACAGGGAGTGGCTAGTTACCCGGAAGGGTCTAGTGAATATGCCGTAAACTCTGAAATTGATAAACTTAATGGGATTTACTCTAAATAACTAAAAGAGTCTATTGTGAGAGATGACTACCGAAAACTGTCTGAAATATTTTTGGGAGGACATCAAGAAAAGAAATGCTTATAAAAAGCTGAAATTTCATATAACAGTATATTTTAGCAATACTAATTAGTATATTAATATATTTAAGGGATAAAATCAACTAATTTTTTTTGGTTATTTTTTAGCTGTCATTCAGATATAATAAAAAAAAGAGTTTCGGGTAATTAGTTTTACGGCCTATTCACCCGACACTTTCGGGTAACTAGCCACTTCCTGTAAAAATATTCATTTTTATTAAAGTATACACATAAATAAAACTATATTTTAACATTTTTTAATAATTTATAATATAAGGGTCATATAATAACAAACACAAAATGACTTACGATCGAAGACCTAGCGGCCAACCGTGTTACAAAATACCGTGCGCCTAACGTTGGCTAATGGAGGGTTCAGATGCAAGTCGGCACGGGTTCCCGTTTATAGAATGAGCTGAAATTTTTACTGGGAGTATATAAATACGTAATAAATATAATTAGAGGGTATGCGTAAAAAAATAAAAAATAAGGGACACCCTAATATATATATATATATATACAGGGTGACCCAGAGCTCCGTAATCGGTCCATAATTTTTTTGCTATTAAAGATAACGATATGAAATTTTTATAGAAAATATGATCCCGTTTAAACAATTTTTCAAAATCATTTTGTACATAATTCCACTTCAGGTTTCACCGGAAGTGACATCAACTTTGTTATTTCAAATAAAACACCCTGTATATTTTTTAATTTTTAATGTGTCCGTTATTTGGGCGATGTGCGAATTTTTTTGCTCGCACCCCCCAAAAAGTTGTAGTTTGGGAAAAAAAAATTTTTGGTAATTTTTTTAGATTTTTTTTTTTTAATTAACCCGTGCCGCAAGAGGGTTAAAGATTTAATTATTGTAAAAATATGATTAAATTTTGCCTTTCACTAAAGGCTTACCACTCCACGATTTTTCAATGAAAAAAGTCTGTCGAGTGGTTTTCTTATAGTTCAAACACCGCTGAACCCGAATCTGAAATTCGTTTTTTTTTTTCATTAATCGTTTTTTTAGAATAGCCTGTGTCGGGAGTAGGTAAAATCGCAAATCGGATGAAAAATGGGATTAGGCTCTTTTCACATTGAAAGTCCTGTAACGTCGCCAGTTTTCAATAAAAAAATTTGAAAATTGGTATACTTATGGTTTTGACATCGCTGAACTCGAATCTGACATTTTCATTAATGACAGCTGTCAAAATAGCTGTCAAAAATCCCAAAAACGATTTTTTATTAAAAATGCCCATTTGCCCCTGTAAAATTATGTTTGGAACTTGAAATTTGACAGTTTAATCATTTGTACATTTTATTGAGTGATTTGGATTTCGGTTTTATGAAAATAAATAATTCAAAGTGCATCAAATTCAGATTCAGCGCATGAAATAACCATAAAATGGGCATTTTTAATAAAAAAACCGTTTTTTGGGATTTTTGACAGCTATTTTGACAGCTGTCATCAATGAAAATGTCAGATTCGAGTTCAGCGATGTCAAAACCATAAGTATACCAATTTTCAGATTTTTTTATTGAAAACTGGCGACGTTACAGGACTTTGAATGTGAAAAGAGCCTAATCCCATTTTTCATCCGATTTGCGATTTTACCTACTCCCGACACAGGCT